GCTACATACTGTATGATTCCAACTACATGATATTCTGGAAAAGGCAAACCTCTGGAGACAATAAAAAGATCAGTGGTTGCCAGGGGTTTTCAGGGAGGGAGGGATGAGTAGGTGGGAGCACCGGGGATTTTTAGGGCAGTGAAACTATTCTGTATGACACTGTAATGGTGGGTACACATCATACATTTGTCAAAACCCGTGGAACTGTACAACACAAAGAGTGAAACCTCACGTAATCTATGGACTTCAGTTAATAATAAGGTACCATTATTGGCTCATCAATTGTAACAAACCTACCACACTAATGCAAGATGTAAATAATAAGGGAAACTGTGTTGGGGGAGACGGAGTATATGGGAACTCTCTGTACTTTCCCATCAATTTTTCTATAAACCTAAAATTGCTCTAAAAAAATAAAGTATATTTTAAAGAGCCTATATCAAAGACTGTAAGTGACCTGATGCCTAATAAGCTCACCATATACCTTACTTCTGATCTTCTGTCTTCCCATAATGTCTCTAACAGAGATTTCTCTGCCCTTAACATTTCTCTTTCTCAGTGAGGAAGGGGGTTGCGGGGGATGAGAGGGGATGCTGAACATGATTGTGGAGAGAATCATCCAAGTATCAGGCGACACTGGCTTTTCTGAAACCTGGTTCACCTTCTCACTCACTCAAGCATTCACTCCATAACCTTTGAGCTTCTACTCTGAGCTAAGGGCTGCACTGGGCACTGAAGATGTAACTGGCAACAAGCCACAGTCCCCTCCCACAAGGCATTCACAATCCAGAGGGAGAGAATGACAAGTAAACAGGCAGTGACAGTTCACTGTGCTAAGCGTTAAATACACGGGTAAATTCAGGGGTCTGTGGGAGTACGAGGAGGAGTATTTAACCCAGCCTAGGTTTGGTCCAGACTTCCCAGAGGAGGTGACACAGAAGCCAAGCCTCAAAATTATGAGCCAGCAGTTAAGAAGCAATGAGAATGCCTCCTGGGCTTGGTCAGAGATCTGGAAGCAAAAGAGAACATAGCCCATCGAGAAGGTGCAAGTAGTTCACTGTGGAGTGTAAATAAAGTGCGAGCGTGCGCGCGCGTGTGTGTGTGTGCGTGTGTGTGTGTGTATATGGGGGGGAAGTGGAGGACAGAGGTGAGAAATGGGCTGGAGAGGCAGGCGGAGACTGGTCAGACCTGAGCCTTTGACTCTCTCAGAAGCAGCGCCTATGCATCCCCACCACACCTGGCAATGCTTGCTCCCTGGAGTCTGTGCCTAAGGCAGATGATGTGTCCAGGGGAGACTCACCAAGTCTCTTTTGAACACGCTTGGTAGAAGGAGCGATCCTATAATTACTGTGGTGAATAATTAGAGGAACTTCCATTGCCTCTTTCAACAAACATTGCACAAGCTGTGGCCCTCTCACCTACGGTGGTGGAGGGGAGCCAGGCACCCCTCCTGGGGGGAGCCAATGCCTGCATCTCCTGCCAAGCACACCTGACTCCCCAGCTGAGGCCCAGAGGTGCCATAGATACACCTGGGACCGTTCCAGCTTGGAGCTGAGTGCTGCTGGCAGAGGGACTGAAAGTCACTCCCCGAGTGCCCTAGGCCGGGCAGCCTCCAGCCAACCCACCGGCTTCAGATTTATTTCAGTCTGGCCTTCTCAGGGGATGCCAGGCCTGCAGAGAGCCTGACCAGGACCTGGAGGTGCCTTCTACATTTGGGGACCCCTAGCCTGAGATGCTCAAGCCACCAGTCTCTGGGCTCACACTTCATCTTCCTGGGACCATGTACACAGGGTTTCCTCAGCCTGCGTACTCTCCCAGCCCTGCCAAGTGCTCTTTGGCTTCTTATACAGTCTGCATTCACATGTTTTCCCAAGAGATACTTTGAGGGCCTCTGATTTAGATGGAGAGAAGAAAACCTTTCTTCTCACTTCTGAACCCGTACCTTTACCGAGACCCCTTCTCCCTCCTTTCTTCCACCAGATTTTTCTTGGTGCAAAGAATGGTCCCTTTACTTCTGGGAAGGCCTTGGCTATCTCTCCTCAGCACCTCCTTTGCCATCCACCCAAATACCCACTTTTCACTTGGCTTCGCCTTTTGTGACTCACTGGGAACTAAAGCCCAAGTGGATTGCCCAGGGGCTCAGGGTGTCTTTTTGTTTCATTAGCGACACGTCTGGTCTGTTTTGTTTTTAGCTCTCCAGAGAGGGAGTTTCTGCACTTCCCAAAGCCACTTGTGCCAATGGCTTCTGGCCTTTCCCATGGGGCCTGAAACCTCAACCGTGCCCCTTCGAGACTCAGAATGACTTTGTGTCATGTTCAAGGGTACAGCTGGCTTTCTCTAAAAGCACCTGGCAAAGTTGTAAGAAGCGAAAGTTAAGGCTGTTTGCTTTCCCATCTCCCCATGACATCCCCACATCCAGTGCAATTTACGGCTGGGCAGATATTCGCAGGCTGGTATCTTTCTTTGAATGGTCAGAGGAGGGTCTCTGGTGCTTTGGTAATTTCTTGGGGCCCTGCCTCAAACCCTCTCCAGGACCTTGATCCTATCACCTGGCCGTTTCCCAGGCCTCTCTGGTGGAGTATCAGGAAACACGTTGAACCTGACTGGTCCTGGCACCTGGCAGCAGGGGAAGGAGGAAGAAGGAGAGCTCGCTTCTGAAGGAAAAATGTACTTGGCTGTCTCATTAAAGGGTTCCCCTTGGGGAACAGGCAAGCGGCAGATGTATGGGCAACGGCCAACTGATCCATTTGGAGATAGATTCAGGGTGTGGTACTCCTCGTAAGCCTGGGCAGGCCCTGGGAAACTGGAGCAGGGCTAGATCCCGGCCTGAAATTGGGCAAGATGCAGAGGAGCTTGAGCATGCTGGTTTCAGGTGTGCGAGCTCTGCTCCTGGTGGCGTTTGGGGATGCGAGGGGGGGGGGTAGTGTGTCTGTTACCCAGGCATGCTTCTAAAACTTGGAACTGCACTGATCATTTTCATTCATAAACGTAGTAACTGACAAGGAGGTTTAGCAAGGCCCTTCAAAGTCTGGCCTCAGTGCACCTTTTCAGTCTCTTCTCTCAACACTCCCCGGCACAAATCATCCATCCCACTCCTGGATCCAAGTTCACTCCGAACCTTCAGGTCTTTAGGCCTTACCTTGTGCCATTCTTTCTTCCTAGAATGCCTTTACTCCTGGTAAGCCTCTCCCCATTTCAGAGGGCCTCATCCACTCCTGGAGAAGCATTCCCCAAGGCCCTGGGGCTCAATTCAACTCTCCCTCCTCTCTCCCCCTAAGCCCCAGATTCACTCCGTTGGTCTCTGGTCTAGCTCTATTATGTTTACTTTTGCACCTGCCTCTAGTCCACCAGATGAGTTGTTCCCTGAGCTTTTTGCTCTTGCATGGCCAGCTCCTTCTCATCCTTCAGGTGTCAGCTCAGATGTCACCTCCTCACGGAGGGCTTCCTTGACCACGCTATCTAAAGTAGCCCCCACCCCTACACACTCTCTGTCCCATTACCTTGTGTTATCATCTTCATAAAACTTAGCAGCATCTGAAATTATCTTCACTTATTTGTTGGCTTGGACTGTCTCTTCCTCTAGAATGTAAGCTCTGGAGGGCAGAGACCCAGCTGAATGAGTTGATACACACTTGGCACCCCATAAATAGCTACTGATTGATCAAATGAAGGCAAGTATGGGGTACTCGACTTGGCACCCCAAGGACTTGGCACCGAGCCTGCGCGCCATAAAGGTTGGCTGCGTAGAATACTTGCTAAATGAATGAATGAACCAAGGAACGCAGGGATGCAGCGCTCTGCCTGCGGAGTGACAGGCTGACTGACAGTTGGGGACCCGTGGCCACACGCTGTTGACTGACGGTTGACAGCTGAGTGGCAGCCAACGGACGCGCATCGGGGCTCTCGATTGGCTGGCTGCAGCAGCCCTGGGGAAGAAGCGAGGGAGAGGGCCCGAGGCGACCGCTCCGCGTGGGAAGGGGGCGGCACCAGGCGGCGGGAGGCGGCGCAACCGCCAGAAGCCGAGCGAGCAACAGTCGCCTCGAACCAACGACCCGACAGCTCCGCGCATGGGCCCAGCGCGAGGGGCGGGGCGCGCGCGTCACGTGAGCGTGTTTTGTGCACGTGACCCGCGCGGGGCCAAGGCTCGCCCCCGCCCCCTCCTCTCCTCCCCTCGGCGGGTG